CCGCAGGCATTTGTCTCCATTACCACTCCATCTGCTTTTATGATTAATTGCTTTTGAAGAAGCATCTATTCACAGTGGAAAAATATCAGAATATTAAAAAAAAATTCTAGGAATGGTAAAAATGAAGGCTTGTCATACTCAGGTTGAATTGAGAGGGAAAACAGAGCTAGTACCTGTGCTACTAAGAGAGAATTTAGAACGAAATTAGTTCTAAAATTTAGAACTAAAATCTGCCGGGGATTTTTGAGGTATGAGGACTACGCGAAAGCAGCCAATGTGGGGAAGACTTGCAATGTGCATCAGAGCAACAATAGCAATAACAATAACTAAATTTTGCTAAGCACTTAATTTGTCCATGTACTAGCTTAGGAGTTTTATTTTATTTTGTTTTGTTTTTTAAGATTTATTTATTTATGTATACAAGAACAGGGGTGTAAGCAAGAGGTGTGGGGGGGTGAGAGGATTCACCAGAGAGAGCGGGGAGCAGAATAGGCTGATTGACCGAAATATACTGCTGAGGGGAGCAGTGGGTGAGGCAGGAGAGGTCTGCTGTGTCATTGTGGGCTGCTCCCTGGCCTGCCAGGGATCCTACTCGCGCAGCATCTGGCTATAGCTTGATAGCGCTGTCTTTAACCCCTGTGATACCAGGGAGGCCCTTAGGAGTTTTATATGCAAATAACACTGAGAAGAAAGAATCTAGGGTACAGAGACTTCCTGGTTCTCATGGAATAATGGCAAGAATTTAAACTAAAATACATCCACAAAAACTATAAAAAGTCAGATCTTTTTGGCCCCTGCTCAAGCTCTTGGGCCACCTACCAATTTTGCCTGCGCTAAGTGGAGACATTTTCTGACTCTACAGGATGCCTGTCCTCAATGCATTGCTCTAAACTCCCGCATCATTGCCTGCTCCGTGAAAATGGATCCGAACCTTGAAATATTTTTTCTTTGCCTATTGGCACAGAAGCTTTGCCAGTAGAGGATCCTGGAGAAAGATTATAGAAGGGAAGGATTTTCCTTTTTGGAAATGGCTAGCTCATTCAGCAGGTTTCTGCAATGCCTCTTCTGGAGTGGATGGGGCTTTCCTGCTGCTTACTTCCTCAGCACTAGCTTCTTCTTCAGCACTTGGTTCCTGCAGGGAGCCTGGCTTCTGCTGTGAATGTGTTATCAAGTAGTCAGATTAATATCAGACAGATTAGTAGAAGAACAGCAAATTTTATACATGTATATATATTGATTGTAATATATAACAAAGCCTATATAGACCATAGTATATAATATATATGGGGAATCTACATAAAGGATTCCAAGGTCACGAGGAGAACTGGGGTATATATCCTAACGAATGGTGTAGGGGCCTGGGACTTCAAGAAAAGAGGGGGATTCACATAATGAGGAAATGACAAAAACCAGATGCTTTGTAATTAGATGTTTCTCTGTCATGAGATAGGTTTCGCTGATAGAAAGATTATGATAAAAAGCCTAATTCTGGGCCTCCCAGGTGGCGCAGCGGTTGAATGCTGTGTTGCGAAGCTGCCCGCAGCCTCTGCAGTTTCTGTTCGATCCCCGGCTGCTCCTCGGCCACCGGAGGAGGGTCCCACATGGCGCGCAGACCTCTCCTGCCGCCCGCTGCTCCCCTCAGCAGTGTACTTCGGTCCTTCTGCCTGCTCTGCTCCCCGCTCTGGCTCTGGTGAATTCTCTTACCCTCCCGCGCTTCTGACTGTATCCAGTGCTTGTATAAATAAAAAAAATAAAAAAATAAAAAAAATTAAAAAGCCTAATTCTGGGTAATACCTCCTATTTTCATTCTTCTAGGCAGATAAGGGAGTGGTAAAACATTCTCATGAGCCTGCAGGGTCTCAATTGGCTTCAGCTTGAAATAACACACCTGCCAAAGAGACACGTCTTGGGGAGGTCTGTTGTAAACATCTTGGGAGGCTTATCCTTCAGTTGTCATTTCCTTCTCATGTAAGACTTATTTAAATCTTTAAAACTAGTCTTCCTTGGTTCGATGATGGGTTAGCTATCCCCAGTTTATATTTCTCATATTCCTCTGATTTCGTTGTTCCTGTCTTTTGCCATCCCAGCGGTGATTTTTTTTTTTTTTTGAGATACCTACACCCCGTGTTTATTTTTTTAAATTTTTTAAAGATTTATTTATACAAGAACTGGGGTACAGGCCAGGTGCGCAGGTGGGTGAGAAGATTCACCAGAGACAGAGCGGGGAACAGAACAGGCAGACTGAAGAAATACACTGCTGAGGGGAGTAGCGGGCGTGACAGGAGAGGTCTGCCGCACCATGTGGGACCCTTGCCAGCCAGCTGGGATCAAGCCGGTGCTGCAGAGGCTGCGGACAGCTTCACAGCATTGCGCTCAACTGCCTGTGCCACCAGGGGAGGCCCTCCCAGCGGTGATTTTTGCACATGCTTTGGTTTGTCTGCATCTCAGGTCTCAAGGCAGTTGTCTGCGTAGAAGTGCTCCCTATAGTGCTGGTGTGGAAGTTTTCCCTACCTTCCTTGTGTAAGGCACCACACTTACAAAGAGTTGTCTGATGCGACCCCTGTGGTTCTGGTGGCTACATGCTGACTTTGAACTTGCTGTGGAGTGAAGCTGAAGGCCTTCATTCTAATGTCCCATTTGACCTTGTAGAATTGTTTTTACTACTGAAATGTAAAATTTTACATACTTACATTTCACATTGATAGTTTGTCCAGGTTCTCTGCCTGCTGAGGTATTTTTTGAATCCTGATTCCGTCACTTAGTATTATCTTTCTCTCCCAGCTTTATGACATACCTATTTTTCATAATCTTGCATTTTGCAGCCTCAGTCATTTTGCAGATGGGGCCAAAGACAAGCTCAGCTGCAGTACATCAACAATGTTGGTTGATATGTATCCTTTAATTCACACTCTTCAAGTGGGGGTACACACCCACAAACTTGACAGAACTTAGATCAGATTTCTCAATTTTACCCAGAACCATTTCATTGAAGACCATTTTGAATACTTTGTTATGGCTCAGCTATTCTGTCTACTGCATTTTAAAAACCTACCTAACCTTATAAAATAGGAGATGACTGTAGACTGAAATGGTTCATTCTTGGGGCCACCTTGGCATCCAGTAATTGCTGCTTCCCTAGTATATTCACTCTAGACCCATGCCCAGAATTAATATTAAACTTACTGGGCCACAGCATATAGAACTCCTCTCACCTCTAATATTAGAAAGATAGGTCTGTTTCCAAGGCATCTTATTGTTTATCACGTTTTAAATAAAAATTGATAATGATTCAACAGACTCATTATTAAGTCTCAGTACTGTGAAATAGAATTAATCTGGAGATGTGAATCTAGAGATGAGTTGCTAGTTTTCTCATAATACTATCTTAATTTGTCCTGGGTTTTAGTTTGCTCTCATGAGTATTTGTCTTTTAAAAATGGTATCTTTAGTCCCTTAGGTTCTAATATCACTAATTGCACAACAGAGTACAACCAGATAAGCAAAACTCCTAGCTCTGGAGGACAGACAAGTGGGCATGAGGATTCATGTTTTTAATTTTTAAAAGACTGAGATATAATCAAGATATAACATATTAGTTTAAGGTGTACAATGATTCAATGTTTGTATAACTCATGTTTGAGATTTATATTCCAAACAGAATTTTAGTGGAAGCCAAAGTATGTTGAAGGATGTATCTGCCCTCTCTTCCCACCCCAAACCATTTAGTTCTTTGAGATGAACACATCATAGCAGTTTCACTGTCAGAGAGCAGTTTTATCTATGTTGAGGATGTAACCCATGCCTTTGCTTCAAACCTTGCAAGCATAAGACACCCTTTTCAATATTCATATTAAGTGATTAGGGTGGAAGTTTATTTTTTCATTTTCCAAACTAGCAGATGTCATTTTAAGTTTGGTTTTGAGACTATGAATGAACACACCAGGTACCATATAGCAGTGACCAGCATTTGCTTTCTCAGGTGTCAGAGTAAATGGGGATGCAAATGAATTCTTCAAATCACCCCAGAAAGTTTTTTTTTTAAGTTTTTTTTTAAATTTAAATTTTATTTTTATATTCCCCATACAATTGCAACCCCCTTATTTTGACCCCAATCTTTCCTTTCCCTGACCCCAGAAAGTTTTGCACTTTCCCTGCTCCAAGCTTGAAATGGAGAATGGCTCCTCAAATTTTCCCCAACACATTTGTATGAATGCATTTTCCACAGAAGTTAATAGAGCTGAATCAGAGTTAACAGCTGGAATTTCTCACTACCTTTGCCAATTACCTTGGCCAGATCTCTCACTGTGGGCTTTGGGGTTGTTTGATGAAAGGAGGTGTCATTTTTTTTTAAAGATTTATTTTATTTATGCATACAAGAACTAGGGTACAGGCCAGAGGTGTGGGGGTTAAGAGGATTCACCAGAGACAGAGTGGGGAACAGAACAGGCGGATTGACTGATATACACTGTTGAGGGGAGCAGTGGGCGAGACAGGAGAGGTCTGCTATGCCTGGCCAGGGATCCATTTCGTGCTGCAGTGGCTGAGGATAGCTTGATAGCGCTGAGATTTTAATCCCTGTGCCACCAGGGAGGCCCTGTTTTGACTTTTATTTTTATTTTTTTATAAGATTTATTTATGCATACAAGAACTGGGGTTGAGGCCAGAGATGCAGGGGGTGAGAGGATTCACCAGAGACAGAGTGGGGAACAGAACAGGCAGATTGACTGAAGTACACTACTGAGGGGAGCAGCGGGCGAGACCGGAGAGGTCTGCTGCGCCATGTGGGTAGCAACCTGGCTGGGGATGGAACTTGTGCTGCAGTGGCTGCGAATAGCTTCATAGGTTGCGTCTTAACCCCTTGTGCCACCAGGGAGGCCCCTGTTTTGACTTTTATTTATTTATATTCTTTTTTGTGTGTTTTTTTTTTTGTTTTGACTTTTAAAGGTATTTTTTCTAGTTGCTTAAGCAAAAAACAAAAAACAAAAACCACATTTCCCCAAATGATTGAAATTTGTTGGATTTATTTCTTTCTAAAGTTTGTACATTTACATATATCATATACATATTTTAAATCCTTCACTATTTTGCATGATTTCTATGACATAAAAACCATTTCAATGCAATAAATTTTGTTGTTGTGAAACAACAAATTATCCCCAACTTATAAAAACACAGGAACAGTTATATTCATGAACATTTACACAATAGAGAAATGTACTATTTATATATCACAGCTTCTATACACATCAGCTGACTCACTGGTCTACACGGTTTAGGTTTTACTTCAACAGTGAAATAGGGTAATATTTATATACAATTATTTTAATAAAAAATAAAGCAATTGTAAAATGTAAACTTAATTTTCAAAATAGTCTTTAAACACTTCAACAATATCCACATAAATTACTGTTCCATTCAAAAGATGACCACCACAAATGCCACAATTTCCTAGGAGATGGCATTTCTTGAATCTGGTGGGTGAGAGTGAGGAACAGGTTTCCAGTACAAGATACGGTACCGCTAGCTTACCCAAGTCTGCTAATGCTGACAGTTTGGCCACTGAAAAGGAGTAGGCTGCTATTTTGTCACTAATTACTTTCACAATTTGCAGGGACATATGGCACCAGGACTGCAATGAGACTGAAATGATTGGTGAAGAAAACTTTGAAGGTAAAGGAATGTTCCACATTGTCCATTAGTTTGAGCCACAGTAAATATAACCCAGTTAAATAGGCTGGAAAAGTTCAAAGCTTATTTCATATTCACAGGTACAATCCCCCACCCTTCTGCCTGCACTGCAGTAATCAGGGCCAGCGTGCTACTTCTCCACCTGTGTAAATTTGTTCTAGAAATGGGCTTCTACGAGTTGAGGTAGAAGGGAAAGCAGGGAGGCATGAGGCCTTTAGCCGGCAGCTCTCATACAGACCGAGCAGAATTGCTAAGCAGTAGGCTTAGTGTTCCTTGACCCTTCCCACATAAATGAAATGTTACCCATTTCCAGAAATATGGACGCAAAGGCAAAGATATCAACCATCCCTGGGTAGAACTCAATGTGCCAGCTTACATCTTGCGGAGGCAAAATACGTGGTCTTGACTTCAGTCACAGGGTTTTTTTTTTTTTATACCCATGTCATGTGTCACCCCGTGACTCAGTCCCTCTGTGTTCATATCTTGCCTTAGCAGGGTCAGCTCGCCGGGACAGCTGGATTCCTAAATCCAGGAAGGAGCATGTGAAGCCCAGGATGTGCTGCGGCTCAGAAGCCCCTGTGGAGGAGGCGAGGGGAGAAGCTCCTCTTTGCAGAGAGGCTACACCATCCCCCGCTTCAGTGCTCTGGGGCTCGGGGTTCAGAGCAAGGAGCCTCAGGCCTGCAGTGCTGCCCTTAACTGAGCCTTGTGGCTGGGACACTTCTGGGAGAGTCTGAAGACTTACAAATGCAGGTTCAGGGGGGAACAGGAAAGGAAACTTCAAAATTTTCTCTAGCCAACATTTTCAGGAATTGAAGTTAAGGTGCTTATTTTATAACACTATGAATGAGAGCTCAGTTCTCTACCCTGCAAAGGGAAATCTATTTTAGCTAGGTTCCTTCTCACATCCATCTTGGCTGTGGTTGCTGATGGAAAAGTGCCTACCTGTTCAGCATACAGCTCAGAGGGGAGTTGGACGATCGGCAGAGTGCTCCTGTGCTAAGTGCTTGCTGCCTCTGCCTTTGCACTTCCTTCTAAAAGGAATGCTCTCCAGAGCGAGCAGCAATGCCACCATGGGCAATGGTGCATACCAGTTTTCTGGCACTTTCCCAGGCTTCTTTGGGATGCCAGGATGTGGCTACTTATGAGATATAAGGAAGCCGTCAACTTGATGGGCCACCAGAAAGGATGTGCTATGCATCTTCTCACTGATTGGTTAAAAGTGCAATGCATCTCTGCGTTAAAACAATGGAGCTCAAGCACCTCTCTGGCCCTTGGAAAACATTCCTGTGATGCAACGTCCACTTCCTCCGTGTATCACTTTTACAACACCTTGGCCCTCGCTGTCTTAAGTTGTGTAACTTAAAACATTTACTATGTATACATGTGTGCAAGTGTCTGTACACGTGAGGCTACTCCCCTCACACATCTAAGGTTGCAGTGAACTGGATCTGAATCTCTCAGGACAGAGGCCTGATCACATGCATAGCTGCCCCAAATGGAAGGCAGCCTGCTCACCCCACCCACTATCCCCCATCCCACCCCCACTTCAGTTTGGTCTAGTTAATTATTCTTGTTCCTATAGCTTAAAAAAAGTCTCCTTATGGCATTACAAATCAATGTGCATATATACTCTCTATAGAGTGGATATTGTTATCCATGCCAAATGGTTACTTGGCTTTATAACCTACATGGCTTTACAGTAAAAGTCCAAACATTTCAAATGATTAAGGCCCAAAATGAAATTGCTACTCCTTTTCTATATGATTTCTGAATCAAATGGATGTTTTTGCAAACCACTATAATTCTTAGAAGGAAATGCACTCTTGTAGAACACAGACCCTGCTGATCAGTCACAGAGCCAGTTCACAGCATGTCAAGAACAAATGAAGAAATATGATACATTTGCAAAAATAGTTTGAGACTGTAGAGTTAATTGAAAAAAAAAAATCAAGTGTAACTACCAAGAAACCACCACAGCCTGGAGCAGAAGACTGGTCTCCCGCTCCACAGCTCCAATTGTCAGAATCAGATACAAAGAACACGAGGCAGTGTGTTGACACGAGTACACTGCACCCCACCACTCACTCAACTGCACTCAATTGCTAATTTAAATACACCAAACATGCTGGTTAATAAAATTTTAATCTCTATGTTATCTATTTACACACTGTAAGAGAAGCAGTAAGCTCAAACAACTAAGGCCAGTGGCTCTTCTTTGGGGAGAGGCAGGAAAAGAGACCTAAGTATAAAAATATTAAATAAAGTTTTAACCTGGTCCATAGCCTGTCCTGCAATTCTTTTACCTGTAACACTCGATGCTAATTTGTGCAACTGCAAACCTAGACAGTTTGCAGTATAGGTACCCGATTTGCAGAATACAGTACCCGATCTTAGGAAGCCCTGATCAACTTCAGCGCCTGGAATATTTCTGGAAGGTGAAGAGGGCCAGGGCAGGGCACTGGACGGGTGGTTCCGTCTACTGTGACACAGACACAGGTACAGTGATGACAGGACGGGTACCGATTTCATTCTTCTGAAAGCTCTATTTTTCTGGGCTAATTACAACAATAAAGAACGTGTGCTGTAGAGCATCACATTTTGTAATAAGCCCAAAGTCATATGACTTATGTTTAAGTGCTCTTTCTTAATACTGAACTTGTAAGACTGCACAGGCTGGCTGTATTTTTTTTTGTTTGTTTTGTTTTGCTTTTTTCTTTCTGTATATCCCAAATTATGAGCTACACCCTAGGTATTGTACACAGTACACTGAAATAGTTTCACAAAGTTAGTTCAGAGTCATTTTTGCCCTGGTGATTCAAAGCTCAAAGACGGACTTTTTCTAGCATAAAATATTATTAAAAAATTTAATCAAAATATCATTTGAATTTAAGTTTAATAAAACAGTACCACTATATATTCTCTCAATAACTGCATTGTAATCCTATGAGGTTTTTACTTGCTTTTCATATCACACTGGTTATTAAGAACAAAAATAAATTTGATGTACATATATCGTCTATTGATACACAATCTACACATTGATACATATACACACACACAACTATAAATATCCACAAATACAACATTGGCAAATGACAGGAAGCATTTTCTTTGATGTCTGACATAGACATACTATCTACATGAATTTTCTCCAAAAGCCTGCAAAAGTACAGATACACACATAAACTACAAAGAATGAACCAAAGAGACTTAAGGAAACCTACTATATATACAAGTACTTAACTTGTAGTATTTTCTTGCTGTTGCATTCAAGTCAACAAACTGTCATGCAGATTCAAGTATTTACTGACATTCTCTCTAGGAAGACATTCTCTCTACATGCAATGGGCCAGTTAATGCCCTGAGCAGAAGGCTGCCCACCGGGTTTTGGACATCGTAGATACAAAGGACTTAGGTGCAAAGGCTTAGGACTTCAGTTCTCTCTGAAGAGTGAGACATTAAACAGGAATGTGAAAGCAGAAGCAGTGACAAAGTACCTCTCTATTGCTTGTTGGGATTATTTTGTGGTAAACTACTGATGTCTAAAGTCCTCTGGTGACTTGATAGGGTAAGATGTCAAAAGACTGTTGGAGACATCTGCTGCCCTGGGCTGACTGGCGGCCTGGCAGGGGAGAAGAGAGTCACAAAGTTCTAGATAAAGGTAGGTCCAGAGGCGTGTCTGCCTATAAAGCTGACTGAACACTTTCTGTCAGAGTAACTTATGCTCTGTAAGAAAAGCAGATGCTATTTAAATCCAAAGTCACACTATTCCACATTAACTATACTCTATTTGTAACAAGTCCTAGGATGTCACATTGGGTCTCTGTTCAACAGCGCTAATTTGAGAACTGAAAAAAATTCTGTCATTTGAAAGGTGAAGGGATTGTTCAGTGTTGAAGTGAAGGAAGGTGGCCACAAACTTGCTGAACTACAAGAACTAAAGTGCAGAGACTTGACCTACAAAGTCAAGAAACTCCCTGTGAAGTCAGGCTTAGTGAAAAAAGTTTAACAGATGATTACAAAGAAAAATGCCAAAGGAATTCAAATGACAGCTAACTAGACCCAAGGAAGTCTTGACAGTAAGACAATGGAGGAACTTCTTTGAGGTCAATTGCCTCCAATTATCAAGATTAGTTGAAAAGGTAGAAGAGCTGCAGTTCATGGCCAGAGCAGGGCCTGCCTTACATAAGAACATCTTCCCAGGCTCCTTACCTGAGAGAGGGAGCAGCATGAAACTGTGACTTTGCGCTTAGGCAAAGGGCCTCCCTCCCTGCTCTTAACCAGCCTCAAGGGTCTAGGGTTTGGCCACAGGGTGACAAATCAACTCAAGAGACCAACCTAGGTTGACCTGGAAAAGTCAGTCGATTTTCCTCTTCCAGAGTTAATTTCCTCATATCAATTTATATTAGGAAGCAATCTGCATCTTCTGAATTAGAATAACAGTCAAAGAAATACAGAGGGTCTTCTGCAGTCGATTTCTATCCTCTTCACCTAACTCAGCAACAAAAAATGCTACCTAGAATCTTGGAAATACAGTTCCACCAGAGGACTCTCCCACAAGCCGGTTTCTCTGAGGGAAATTAAAATGCACAGGAGTATTGCTTATTTTAACTAGGCATTCCTAAGAGTAGCAAAACAATATTGAAAAGAGTATCCTTCAAATCATGCCTATGGTATGGCAATAAAATAAGGATTCCACATGCTAGTCATTAAGTTTTGATTGCTAACAAGGAATTTCTGATACCTCCCTGTAAAAGCCAACAAACCCTAAAACATTCAGACTTTATAAATGGGATACTTTGAAGGTCAATTTTGCAGCAAGATTATCACCAAGGTATTTTGATGCCCATCAAAATATTCTAAACTAAAAGTTAATATGAAGTATATTTATGTGAAGAGGAATAATGAGTTATCACATGGAGAGAAACCCCAAGGCTCCCGGTGCTGAGATACAGGTGAGGTATGGGGGTGCGGGAGGTGGAGTACCGTTAGACAGAAAGAACGAGGAGAGATCCCCTGTACCATGAAATTAGGCATGGAGTGGATGTGAAAGGAAATGTCATCAATCTCTTCTGACTAGCTACTATGGGTCTGAACTCATTACAAAAGAAAATGTAGCTAGTATGGGCAAGATTCTGAGAATCTAGTCAAATTAGGGACCATTTTCAAGCATAGGATAAACTCTTGGACTACAAGATGCACCAACAACAGACAAGAACCTCCAGAGGCCTCAGGGAGGAAGTGTTCTGAGCCCTGCTCCAATAGATGGACAACTTCAGGCCAGGACAATCTGGGATGCTGTCTCACAAAACAAGATTTGCCATTGTTTTTAAAGTGCGCCTGCGCAAAGGTGGTACACCGAGGCTTTAAAAGTGCCCTTCTCATCCAGTTAGCTTATCCACATATCCTGAAATCCCTGGAGGTAATGTTAGTGAATCCTGTCCTGCAACGAGAACAACACTATAGTGGTGCTGATGCTAAGTCGGCATTTCAGAGCCACTCTACATGTCAGACACACCGCGGCTAGGTACCATTCCATGTCTATTATATAATATAATTAACTCACAGAGACATTCTATATACACAGACACACTCACACTGCGGGCAGACACATTCAAGCCAGTCAGGGATGTTCATTTTTCTTTAGCTATTGAAACTCAGACATAAGGCCTAGGTGCCTCTCTCCCTTTTATTTAGGATAAGTAACTAGGCAGAACACAAACAGGAAGAAAGACGATTTCCTTGTGAAAATCTTGGAGTCAGAATCAGGTACCAGCCCAGACTGTAACTACCCTGTTGTTTCTGTTTTGAAACATCAATTTAGTCACTGCCTTCACCTAAGTGAGAGAGAGAGTTTTTCAAAGGTGTGGCAAGAGACATCATGAAGCAAGCAGTCTTGCAGAGGGGTTACCCTTTTCTGGGCACCAGTACAAACGGGCATTTATAGATGATGGAAGAAAATGTTAATAAATAATCCTACAACTAATGCTGATACATAAGGCCAATATGCCATTAGAAACTATCAGGGTTTAATAGCAGATTTCTCCTAATTAACCGGGACCCCGCTATTCACGCATGTCTCTCATTCTTTGGTCATAGTACCTTTATTCAAGAAACTGAGTAGAACTAGAACAAATTTCTGTAGGTGGGAAAAGGCATAGAAAGTGATTCCATTAGTTCTGAAGTTGTCATTTGTGGAGATTACAGCTTTAAGGGTCACAAATTTTTAAGGGTTCAGAATCATAAAGTTCTAATTCATAAAGAACTCAATTGTCACTCCTTTCTCTTTCTCGACAAGAGAATGTTCTGTTTGCCACCCTGAATTTCAAAGAGCTGTCGCTGGAACATGCTCATGATTATAGGGGTGATAGAATTATTTTGAGTAGATAAGAAATTATTTAAATGAGATAATAAAGACTTTAAGGAGAAAGTGAAGGAGGAGCAGAGTGCAGTGGCTATCAGAGAGACAGAAAACAATAGCATAGGTGACTCTGCATATGTAACCACCAGAATTTTGTTTTCCAACCACAATTCATTCAGACTGTACTCCTTTCAGATTTAATTTAAAGAATTGCTATTCTATTGCTGGACAATTATAGTTACCTTTCCCTCTCTTATTTTGTCTTTCTTAAGGAAAGAAGAAAAGGGGTTCCATTTTCAACATAATTTTGTTAGGAAGACCCCCATTATTCTTACAACCAGGAGATAACCCCACACCTATATATATGCGTTAAAAAAAACCCCAAAACAACAAAAGAACCTATTCCCAAAAGGCAGGGTACTGGTAACAGAGATGATTCTGGATTCCTAGTCTATACCCCCAGATGGGTGGGGTAACAATTTCCTGCAGACCAAACCCAGGCCTACTGCTGCAGGTCCCCCAGAGTCCATTGTTGCCATTGTCATCTAGCAAACAAAATGAACTTGGTGTCAGTCTTTCCACAACCTTTAATGGCAAGACGATTCTACTTCCTCTTTCCCTGCATGGCTGAAACAGAATCAACCCTTCAAGCAAGTGAACGTGCTTCCAGGTCCTCCAGTCCTGCAATCTTCACGCCTCCTTTCCTGGCTTCCAGCAGGGTCACAACTTAACAAGCGCTAAGACGCAGTCATAGCTGCATCACGCTGGAACGTCTTGATTCTCAGAATTGCAATCTTAATTGAACTTCTGAGAGTGCTCAATCCACCTCTGTGACTGGGCAAGGTTTCACATATAAAGGCTTATATTAACTCTGGCTAGAATTTACTAAACTACGAAGTTTGTCCAGTTAAGAGTTTCACAATAGATTAAATTTTTTAACCTTAAAAAAAAGTGTAACAGCTGATCTGAGACTACATAAAACAACTGAGCAGAGTGCAAACAAGAGAAAACCAAAGGAGAAGGGACACATAATTCAATCTGAAATCACGATCCCCTCCCCCTCACAAAAAAGGTGCATTAGTTATCAAATAGCAAAAATCATCAAAGCAAAGAAATCAAGAGCAAAGAGACAATCTGTACAGAAAACTAACAAAAATATACAATAGAAAAGGTTACTAATGCACCATTTAGTCACAGACTTTTTTTTTTAAATATATTCACGGATTTACCAGAAAGATCTTGAAAAACCCTATTTTGCTCCATGACCAGCACTTTCTGGCCACAGATGGACTCTAAGTAACTTTTTGCTTAATGCTTGGTGTTTCAGGTCGGTGATCTTTTCTCTCAGATACGTTACGCTTGACCTTGGCAATGACTGGGGATGAATCTGGGTTCAGTGAAGGACTGGAATGTGACTTCTTCAGTCCAGCAGCCTCAGTTTCATTGTTAATCAGGAAATTCTTGCCTCCTTCCTTTAGAATACTGACATACGTTTCATAACGGTTTTTCTGGAAGGAAAGTCAAAGAAGAATGTTAGTCAATGCATAGTTCACAAACACATGCACGCGGAGCTACCCACAGATGACTGGTGTTAAGCCTTGAAAACAGTATAAGAGACTGACTGATGGGCTCATTTATTTAGATTAGAAATTAAGTTAGAATTTTAGTTCCTGTTTGTTTTGCATTCAGAAGAAATGACAACTAGAATTACTGGCTATTAGATGGGGAAATTAAGATTCTGGAACACTCAGTAGTAAGAAGGGTCTACACAAGAGGTGCTATAACCATTGGGTTTTGGCAACTAGCTGGCTCTTATGGTTCTTTCTTGAGTCACCTGAGCTTCCCACACATGATCTAGGCTGTGGCTAAGCCTGGCTTGAAAGTGCTCATTCACTTTCCTTCCTACTCCCTGTAACTCTACGAAGACTCAACTCCAGGGATCAGTCCATGGTGATGATACTCAACCCTCTGCAAAACCACACCATTTTAAAAATATATTTACATATAAATATGTATATATTTGACAGCCTTGTTCATTTTTGTACAATGCTTTCTCCTCTCAGGTGTAGTCCCCATAAAATTCCCACCACCAAGACACCTGCGGACCATCGCCATAGTCTATTGTGCTCTTTCCACTCCTGTTTTAATCCCTCTCCCTCCCCTTCCCCTGCCTATTCAGCAATCAAAAAAGATAAACTCATGCTATTTGCAGCAACATGGATAGAGCTGTAAGGATTATGCTCAGTGAAATAATTAAGAAGGAAAAACAAAAATATTGGATGGTTTTACTTATAGGGAGTAATATAAGGGAACCGAATAAGGGGTCGGGGGAAAAAAAAACAAAAATAGCAGGCAACTATAAATTGAAAACCACAAGACTTTTTAAAAGGTGCTCTGGGTTTCCCATCACTGCTTTCCCGCTAGGATTAACAAGTCTCTACTATGTTTTAAACAGCTTGATTCTCTAGTGTGAGTATCTTTTTCTAGGAATAATTGAGAAAAACATGTCAGAGATTGTTTTTTCTCTAATCCTAACTAGCACTGCTTTTCTAAGTTTCTATTCAAGTCATTATATAGAACTATTCTATATGTATGTATGTATCAGATCCTTGATTTGACAGATTCTGGTCAAAATAAATATTTTATCATGCTGCTTCAACACATGAAGGATTTATAGAAGGCCTGAAGTGTTTTATTTCTAAATAAAAGAACAAGTCAGTTATAAATTGTCCCAACAAAGGCAGACAAATTCTGTTGACTGGATTTTTCTAGTCTTGAAATTCTGCATCTCAGTTTTAAGTTAGTAGTTACGAAGTTGAAGCTACTCTTTCAAGTTGTTTTGTTTGAAAGTGGGAAAAAACTGTGAGTCATTAAACTTATTTTGGGCTTGGTCAGTGTTGATGTGGCTGATGATAGTGACATTTTTGGAGTGCTACATACAGACTCTGGGTCATTCACACAGTGATCACATTCAATTGGTAATTGTTATCCCTGTTGTACAGTAAAGGAAATATAGGTAGAGAAACATCCTAGGTAAGAGTTAGCAAAAAAGCAAAGCTGGGATTTGAATTCAGGAAATATGACCCCAGAACTCATACTCTCCAGCTATGTTTCCTGTCTGGGTATAAAAATGTAGATATACACATGAATGTATGTTTTAGAATGACAGCTCTAACAGATACCATTGGTTTGGCCAATCAAAAGCCATTCACAATCCTGCCTTCTCTTCTACCCTACTACAAAGGCTGATAAAATTTAAATATTTGACATTCCTTCCCAGTGCCCCTACAGCAAAGATGGGCCATGGAATATTCTGCCAGTGAACTGCAAGAAGTTTTTTTTTGGGGGGAGGGGGATGGTTTCTGGAAGAAATGATTTGCTTCCTGATGAAAGGAACAGGGTTTAGAGGAAAAACTACTGGTCTCTCACTTATTCCTTCCTTGACATGGATGTGATTTCTAAAGCTACAACCCTGTGTGTCATGGGGCAGCGACATGAAGACAAAAGGACAATGTGCTAGACGTGAGAAAAGATGGACAGAAAAAGCCTAGGGTTTTGAAGACAAAATGAGCTAGATCCAAATCTAAGACTTCCTACAATCTCTAAATATCTTGTTAAAATAAATAATAAATATTATAAGTGGTTAAGCCACTGTTCATCAGATGTTAACTGCAGCTGAAATTGATACACATCCCAATTTTAATATGTACCAAAGTAAAATAATAAAATACTAAGCTTTTGCCAGAAGCCTACATAAAGGTTTATAAGGGAATTTGCTAATAAAAAAAAGTCATCAGAATTAGACATCAATTTATGCATCAGTGAAATCAGGGGATTGAACTCAACAATATCCAAAGGGCATACTGGTTCTTAAGTCCTATTTATTCCAGTACCAAATCTGCCCTCAATTACCTTGGTGGTAAGATTAAAATTCAGGAAAGAACTACTTGCAATAGGAATAAGGTTTAGCAAAATGATCTAAAGGCAATTTAAAAATAAAGTTAGGACGAAAGTGTAAGGCATACTATTTTACAATGCTGGGGCATCTACCTAATGCAAATGGTATGAAGGACAATTTTTTTGAGATGACTTGATGAGGGAACAAAGCAAGAGAAGATGATAGAGCCAGTTTCTACTGGTTTTTGCAGAGACTGATACTATCAGGAAAAATCACTTGAGAAATACATGAAGCAAAACCATTGCATCCACTCATCCTACAGCTCCAGCTGCAAAGATGTTGTCTCAAATAAATCACATCAGTGTCAATCAACAAACAAAAGGTACATCACAGAAGCGGCAGCACATGAGTCATCAGATGAGAAGAAAAGACAAAATAAAGTGCAGGGTGAACGGGGACCAGAAAAGCAGGAGAGCTTAGTTGCTGGTAAGGGAAACAAGGGAAAGGAACTACATGGGTTTATGAACTTCTTTAAATGGCTATGCTCTATTTCTGAGTTAGAAAAGGATTACTGGGACAGAGGCCACAAAATCCCAGTAATGTGGCCTCTGCTTCGCTTTTTTACATTCTCTGAGTCTAGCTCTCACTAAAACCAACCAAATAGCCCTTCAAAATATTTTAGGACAACTCATCTTAATCTCAGAGCTATTCAGCAGGTGCTGGCTCTAGCCAGCCTGGGCTAGCCAGGTTCTTCTGGACTACAGACTCATCAAAATGTGCAAATGCTTATCCAGAAGATTTGGGGTCAAAAAAAGATCATCTCTGAGTAAAGAAAAAGAATTTTCTTTGATCTCTCCTCATAGTCTCCCCTTCAAGGGTGGAGACATCAGACTTCCTAACTGTGCAACCATGTGGTCTCTTGGGGAGAGCTGATTTGCTTTCTTGCTTTCAGAGAAGATGATTCCTATCTTTTTTTCCCCTACGATCAACAGTAAGATTAAATTTTAAGTTAAAGCTGGTATGTAAGAAAAAGCAAAGCATCAAGCAGGAAGTATATTTGTAAATCAATTTTACCTGTTTGGAGACTAAAAACTTTATGATCATCCTGTCAATAAGCTCTGGGGACACAGCTGGATCGGTGTTCCACAACTGTCATGCTTCCCATCAGAGCACTGAGTTTTGGTCCCGAGTGATAAGACTAAAGGCTCACAAGCCACTGCTGAGCAAACCCCTGTGCTTGTCCTTCCCATGTCCAGGATACCTGACCAGAGGGGTGCAGACCCCACGTAGCACAAACCCTACACAGCGCACGAGGGGCAGGCTTGTGCTTAAGAATGGAACACTCACTCTACTGAGGGAGAGAAGTAGTTTATGTCATACTTTTGAAATTTATAAAATAGACATTTTCTGAGTACCTCTTATGTTGCAAAGGAAGATAAATTTTTATTATTCACTTTGAATTTAAAAATAAAATGTTAACCACTGCCTGTGGAACATGGTGGTTCTTCATATGAATAGGAATGAGATCTCATTATTCTCACTTCAAGAGCAGCCTCAAAAGAGTACCTCTAGCTAAAGCATCCCGTAAAGAACTAAGGACTCATCACTGGTTATTTATATCTGAATTCCCATGCCTGATAATTCTTATGTATATTTCCATGCAGAATCACATTTACCCTCAGGTAAAAACTTCAGTATTAACCTAAGATTCAAAGTTCCCTGGATCAGAGACTAGAAGCTTCATCAATATTAATAGCAGAGGGATCTGCTGTTGACACAAAACATGTAAATAATGACAACACTGACATTTTACACCTTTGCTCTGACGATGATGTTCATAACCAGATGGTGAAAAGGGAAAGAAAAAAAATGGAATGTTTCAGTTAATGTAATTTTATGCCATAAAGTAATCACTGTGCAAGAATTAACATAGCTCCAGGGCAGGTTAAAAATGAGAAGGACGGGGCCTCCCTGGTGGCGCAGCGGTTGAGCGCTGGGTTGCGAAGCTGCCCGCGGCCTCTGCGGTGCCGGTTCAATCCCCGGCTGCTCCCCGGCCACCAGAGGAGGGTCCCACATGGCGCGCAGACCTCTCCTGCCTCCCGCTGCTCCCCTCAGCAGTGTACTTTGGTCCTTTTGCCTGCTCTGCTCCCCGCTCTGGCTCTGGTGAATTCTCTCACTTCTGACTGTACCCAGTGCATGTATAAACAAAACAAACAAATAAATAAATAAAACATGCCTCTATTAAAAAAAAAAATGAGAAGGACGTAAATTGTGCCTCTGCAGGAAGCACTGTGGTAGTGAAAAGAATAGTCTTGTGCCCAGGTGACCTGTGTGACATTGCCACTCACTAATATGTATGGCCTCCATTCACTCTCCCAAGTCCTTATTTAGTCTTTCTTATGTAGCCTTTCAGGTATGTGTCTTTCATTAAAAAGGGCAGAGAGAGAAAGTTTGAGAATAAGATGTGCCACAGGGACAATTTCTCGTGTTATTAGATGTTGTCTTTAATCTTTGCTGATTCACTCTCAGATCCGTTGTAAAAAAATTTCAGTTGTAGGCTCAGCTTCCTTCTTTAGGAGTTCTTCAATAGTGTGAATAGATTTCTATCAG